CTCAAGATCTGAACTCCCAACTTACGGGCAGCCTTGGCAGGAGGGGATTTCACTAGTGAGGCTGAATTTCTGGTGCATGGAGTGGTTAAACATTACACTCCTGATGCAGTGGGAACATGTGCTAACAGGTATCTCCCAAACATTTTGTAAAATAAACCAAAACTGCAAACTGAAAACCACTTATTGCTAGATGTTCCTCTTTTGTCCCTGGTAAGAGAGGTCCCAAAAATTATAGTCTTGTGCATTTTTTGGACGGCAAAGATTTAATTCAAGTAGTTCTTTCTACTGAATACAGTGTATTACTTCCGATCTCAATGTTCAGTGCAATTATACACCCATACAACAAGTGTATCAGACTCTTAGGCACAGCCACCAGCAAGAGTTACAAGTTTTGGGGAAGTTGTTTGAGTTATCAGAGCAAAATATCATTCCCACCTCAGCTGTCTTAGCCGAAAGGGCAACATCCTGTAACCAGTGCGTTGTTTGGGGCTAAAATCCCAAGCTTCCTCCACCCCTGCTAGTAAGTACAACAGGCACTCCATCATACTTCCTCCTCCTTTATCAGTGGACAGATGTTTCATCTCCAGATCAATGGGCTAGTGATTCTTTTGCCAACATAAAAAGATGCAGTAATTTACTGTTTCAAAGAGTTTACTTTTTCAAATGTATCAAATCCCTCGAATCCCTGCTGTTAACTGAGTAACTGTTGTCTGTTAGTTATAACAAACAAGCACCAAGAGTCAAAATCATAAGTTACAAGTTTCCAGCTTTATAAAGCATTTTAAAATGAGATTAAAATCTATGCATGCCATATATCACTTCCCCACATAACTGCTGGAATTCCACCATGTACAGTAACAAATGATAAAACATTATCATTTGGTCTAATGGACATAGTCTCATCTCCAAGCGTAAGGATTTACTTACATACATCAGTATAATTAATGTTAATGGCAATCACAAACATAAATCTTCGAAATATCGAGAGGAGCTTGGTCTGTTAAAATGGCCAGCTGCACTCCCCAAACAATCACTAGGCAAAACATTAATACGCAGAAGCTGTGTTTCCACCTAAATAATTCCTCAGTGTGGTCTGCTAACACTTGAATTATTTGGAAAGTAAGAAGTTAAATAGGGTACAGGCTATTTTACACAAGCTATACTGGATAGAGCACACACTTCTAAATCGGGACCTATACAATGAACTCAGTGCAAGGAAGTTCAAGGATAAAAACATGTAATGAGATTGTTAAAGCAATGAAAGGGACACAGCTATGCACTTTCCATTAATGTTCCCTTTACTACTTTGAAAATCTCATTCATGATCTCTATTATTTAGAGTTCTTTGCCTTTGTGTATCTGTACACTTCTAGGTACCAAAAAAATCCACTTACTAGAAAAGTTAAAATTATCCCGCAATGGTAGTTTCTCAGGAACACATTTTCAAAGCAGCATGAAGGTTTTCACTGTGTGACACATACCAACATCAACTGGATTCACACAGCTAAAACTCTCTGCAATTTGTTGCCAATTTACCCCTTCCAGAACTCAATATTTTTTGAATTTGTTTTGTTTTCCAAACATTTTCATGATACAGTATTTTATGGCATGGTGGCTACACTAGCACAGGCACCTTCTCTGGCAGCTGCTTTAATTTTCTAGTACAGACAAGGCCAACACCTGAAACTTCTAATGGCACCAGTACTGAAGAATTATGGCTGTAATCCAAAGGATTCATATCTCCTTATGAGATATTTTCCTGATGTATAGATAGTTCCTAATAGTCTTGATGACAGATTTATGCACAAAAGGATAAACATACACTTCTGAGTTCTTAGACTGAAAACTTTGGAAATGGCATATGACAATGCCTCGCTTAGGAAGAGCAAAACAATGCAAGATCATTGGGGTTTGTTGTTGGTTGTTTATTTTTGGGAGGGGAGGGAGAGGGAGTGTCACAATGTAGTTCTCCTTATGCAAAATTCCCCCGGCTTTCAGAAGCAGAATCCACCTGCAGAAGTTCAAAGAAACCATGCACCTAACAGCTTTTCCTGAACTGGTGCCACCTAGCATCCTGCCTCTGTGATTTTCCTTCAGATCCCAATATTACATACACATAGAATCATAGAATAGTTAGGGTTGGAAAGGACCTTAAGATCATCTAGTTCCAATGCCCCTGCCATGGGCAGGGACACCTCACACTAAACCATCCCACCCAAGGCTCCGTCCAACCTGGCCTTGAACACCACCAGGGATGGAGCATATGGACTCACATTTAAAATGAAGGCCTTAAACAATAAAAGACTGTCTACAGATTAACTACAGACTGTCCTTGGGATTACTGAATTCAACATTAATATGTGTTTATTATAAAATGCAAAAGCTGTTAGAAATAAACACTTTCATATATCAAAACATAACGGAAAACTGGTATTGTCACATTCTAAAACTGATAAACAGCACTGAAAATTACAAACAAATCTTCTTGAAGTTAATACACTTAATGTATTATCGAGAAATGGTATTTTCTTGACTGTCATGTAGTAACTGTTGTTCTTCTCACCTTGTAACTCTTCATTCCAGAAATACATAAACGTGCAGCCTAGTTTGAGAAGATGACAGCTTTTAGGAACCAAAAAACTGCTTTGAGGCTGCTAAATACTGTGTCTTTCCTCAGAACAGGAATCAAATCTTTGGAATGAACATGTTTCCAGGAACTTAGCTTTTTTAGTTTGTATCACCTTACACCAAAGAGAACCCCTATAGCACCTTTGCTGTGAAAGGTGTTGCCAACTGTGTTTCAGAATATACCTCCTCAGTTGAAATCTAAAAGTTAGTCTTAAGGTTAAGCCAGAACTGTTCCCAAGCCCTTTTCTGACATAACCAGAATATGACCTAAATGAGCAACTTCCTTTTTTAGAATACCTGACCATTTGTCTCCTAAAGTTTTTCCTCAAGTCCTGTAAATCATCTCTACTTCTGAAATGTTACAAATCAGCATCACAGGTGCCTCGGGTTTGTAACATTTCATCTAAACGATGTCCACAGCCAGTAACACCTCTTTCACCCCTCCATAAATGGATTCAAGGTGAAATAAAACCTCGTTTAATGACACTAACGTTCAGGAATGCAGTTTTTCTTTACCTGCTTTACACTCATGATGTTAGAAAAAGATCTAAAACCGCCTGTGGTGACAACTTCCACAGACATAAACCAAAGGCTACCACCACTGAAATCAATGGAAAAACCTGAGCTTTAAGGCCTTCTCTACCAGGTGACTTCTTCAATCTAAACCACAGCTTTACTTTCTAAATGGAAATAAATTACAATTAAAGCATTGTGGCATACAGACATTTACCAGTGCCTGAAAGATGTGACTATGACAGTGGAACGTTATTATAAAACAGGTAAGTACATTCAAAAAAACCTGTGCATTAAAGTCTGTTTTAGAAGTTGTTAACATCATCTGAGAGGCCTTTTATAAAATACGAATCTTTTTCTGAAAGACTTTATATGCATTTCTCTGCAGATTATAGTGGCTATTCACATTTTACTTCAATTTTTATAGCCTCCAAGTAATTCTACAGGATAGTAAATACAGTTATTATAACCTTCATAACAGGCAGAGAGATATATTTGAAGGAAAAGGGTTTGTTTCCCCTCCCACATGCACTGAAGTAAATCAGGAGTGAGTCTGCTGCAGTCGACAGGACAGTATGTGCATAACTGCTGCAAAACAAGAAAAGTAAAAATACCAGAAATGGAGAAACAAAGCTTTCCTCATGCTGAAAGCACAAATCACACATCCTCGGTGCTTTTTGGCAAGGTTGTGCCATTGAAGCACTCAGACCACACTTAGTTCCACCACACTAAAGCACGTCTAAAGAGGTCCAGGTTCGCACGGAAAACAATGGAGGCACGTACACCAGTTCACACAGACCTGACATAAAGCCTTGAAAACAAACGAGGGTCTTCAAATTAAGTAATTGCACGCATTGCACTTAGGTGTATTACCCCTGAAACAAAAGAGATTCCAAAGTGCTGAACAGAAAACTTGAAAGATTAGCAAAGGATTAGGAAATAAATAATAAATCAACAATAATTGCATCCCACTTCTTTACCGACACGCAGAAGGAACAGCACTCATAAGAAAGATCATGTGGCAAAATGATGACTCTGAGTCACTAGAAAAGAGAAAAATCTTTTAAAACACTCTTGGGACCCAGGGACTACTGTTAAAGGAAAAGCATTATTTTATCATTCGGCTAATGCAGCAGCGGATGGAGTATTATTGTCTGGCAGTGTTTTGTCTCAACAACTCTTTTCTCTGAAACAAATATGCCAACTTCAGTAAACAAGGAGAATAAGATGCACCGCTGTGTTGTTCCGCCTGCACGCTGAGGAACATTCACTCAGAGGGAAAGAATCCCAAGAAAAGTCGCGGCAAAGGGCCGGCAGACACCGCTCGCACAAAGGTTAAGAACAGCAGAGAAAGCCAAGAGGCGGCGGTGACGGCGCTGCTCGCACACACACCTCCTCAAGCAGGGCTGACCGGGGAGCTGAGCTGCCCGCGGTGGCAGCGCCCATCACCGACCACCCCGCCGCCACCGTCCCCCGGGGTCACCGACCCCTCTGCCCTGGGCTCGGAGGACGGGGAAGTCCCTGCCTGGCACTAGCGAGCACCACACCGCCGGGAAGCGAGGCGGGCGGGGACTCTCCGTGTCTCTTTCCCTCCCCCAAGCAGGGAGCGCTGACAGCCGCCCGGGCTCAGCAGCTGAGCGCCCGCCCCGGCCGCCCCCAACCCCCACATCCCCACCCGCGGGGCCGCTCTCTCCGGCGCCGCGCTGCAAAACTCACGGAGTCCCGGGGGCCCCGCTCCCGCCGTCCCGCACGCCTGCACAGGGCGCTGCCGGACAGCTCCGCGGCCGCTCCCTGCCTGGGGATGGGGAAAGCACCCGCGGAGCAGAAGCGTGCCCCGGGGCGGGCGGGTCAGCACTCACCAGCTGCAGCGAGCAGAGGAAGATCAGCGTGCAGCGCCCCGTGCAGCAGCCCATGGTGGCAGCTGGTCGCGCCGCCGCTTCTCCTCTTTTTCCCCCCCGCGCTGGCGCGGCACCGGAGGCGAAGCGAGGCGAGCCGAGGCGAAGCGGCGGGCTCACCGCATCCGGACAGAGCGGGCGGACGCGCGGCTCCCCTCCTTTGTTGAGGGGGTCTGTCCACGGCGGCGGGGTCAGGAGCGTGCGGAGGTCGGGGCGGCCCCGGGGAGAGGAGCCGGCGGCGGCAGCAGCAGCAGCAGCAGCAGCGGGGGGCTCTGCCCGGCGCCGGTCTGGCTCTGGGGAAGGGGCAGGGTGGGCGTGTGCGGGCCGGGGCGGGAGGAGGGAACGCGTGCGGGGAGGCGGGGGGGAAGGGGGAGGTGGCGGAGGGGGGTGCGGTCGGTGTGGAGGGGAGAGGCGCAGGGGGTTCCCGGGTGACGGGGATGCTGGAGGCTCTGAGGACAGGCGGTGCTTGAGAGGGAACTCGCCGGGAGGGGCGGGGGCTGTTCGGGCAGCGGCGGACGGGGCAGCCCAGAGCGGGCCGCTTGTTGCGAGCGCCCGGGGAAAGTTCAAGGGACTTGGGCTGGGCGGGCCGGGGGAAGCCCGGGTGCGGGCGGCGGGCCATAGTTCGCGGCCTGCGCTGTGCCAGCGGCGGGTGCTGGGGCGGCAGCCAGGCAGGGTAACAGGCGGGAGGTACCTCAGGGAGCCGCTTCCCGCCCTGTGCTCCCTGCTGCGAGCAGGCTTCTCCGCGAGCCCGGGTGCTCGAGGCAGGCGCTGCGGCTGCTTAATCCTCTCCGCGGCCGCTAACAGGAGGTGCTGGGGGAGGGGGTTCCCTCCCATTGTGCCAGGAGAGCCCGCCGGCTCCTGCTGCCCCTGAGGGGCTGAACTGGGAAGGGCACCCGGGGAGAGGAGCTCGGCCCCGGCTACATAGAATCGTAGAATAGAATCACAGTTAGGGTTGGAAAGGACCTTAAGAATAGAATCTCCTGTCAGAGGTGAATGGACTCCGAGAGTTGCGAATAATTGCTGCTTACCAGGAGACGGATAACCACTGTTCTCTAGGAGCCTCTCTGTGGACAGGTGGGAGAAGTAGGATCAGTGGAGCTCTACTGTGGTCCCTACATCTATATATGCACTTTGGTCGTAGACAGGTAATGTTTTGGGGAGAAAGAATGGGCATAAACTGGGCATAAACATGCACACTGTGTCTTAAAAAATATTTTAAGTCATGGATGAAGTGTCACCTACTTTTTTTTTTTCTTCTCTCTCCAGCAAAGTATGGATAAATCAGATTAATTTTTTGCAGGCATTAAGGCATGTTCCACTCACCAAACAGTGCTTCTGTACAGCCTGTTACCAGCTGCTCTTCCATGATACACAGACTTCTGCCAAAGAACACTGAAGCTTGCCCTCACCAAAAAAAAAACACCATCTTCAAGGCATTTTAGTAAGACACCCTATTAATATATCTATGAAATACACAGTATTGTACCCCTAGACTATATCCAGCTTTTAATTTATTCATCTTTAAGGTCTCTTCAAACCCTAACCATTCTATGATTCTATGGCAGTAGTCAGATAATTACAAAACTACTGTGAAATAGTGTCGTGTGAGATTAGATTTGGAAAGCTGCTTTTTATTCTACCACTTCCTTTTTAAGTAGGAAAGCATTAAGGCAGTTTTCTACACCAAAGTGAGGGAACAAAAGAGAGGCAAGTAAGAACCAGATTCTGCTCATCCAGGATATGTATTTGAGTAAGTATGTATGTGAGGAGTGCAAAATATTACCCACATTGCACAGTATACAAAACTTCAGTAAAACAGCCTGAGATTTATATTTCTATGTATGGCTTTTAAGATCAAATTCTACCTGGGGCTAAACTTTATTAAAGTTGCATGCTCTGAGAGCATATATATTTTGAAGGATGAATACCTGAAGATATGGAAGTAAATTAAAAAGGTGATAGCTGCCAAAAATACATTGTGACAGGCTGAACTGGTAAATTTTATGGATAATTAGTTTTATATTCAGAGGGCTTACAGCAGGTATCATCTCTTTGGACTCCACTGAAGTATTTAATATACTACAAGATCTTTTTAGTTAAACCCAATAATACAGAGATTAATAGTAATAACTGCAGGATGGATAAGGAACCAGATGAATTAAATGACAAGACCTAGCACTGAAGAGATTTTACTTGTACTCAACATATTCGACCCCTGCTTGTACATGGGTGGGACGAGGTCCATAACTCTTCCCTTTCTACTTCTCCCCAGGAGTACTGCTCTTCTTAGAAGTAGCTAAATCCTTACTTTTTCTTCTCGCAAGAAAGGGGATACCTTCTAGTACTAGGATAGCAGCTGACATTAACCCCTTTGTTGAGGGAGAACTGTCTCGAGAAGTGGGTAAGATAAACAAAGCACTTTTCGCCTGCCCTAGCTATTGTTTCAGCAACCTGCAGAAAAAAGTGGGTATTGCTGTTTCAGAGACAACCAGTGTTCAAGGTGTCTTCCAGGCTATAAAAGACGTAAAATTCCTTTAAAAAACACAAAACAACAACAAAACAAATCAAACAAAGAGTAAGAACCAGGAAAAAAAAGAGAAAGCCAATAGTGGTTATTTTTGTATAGTCAGTTTAAATCACCCATCTTCATAATTTCCAACTTTCCTGTTACTGAATTTGAATTCCAGAGCTGGTAACTTTCAGAGCATGTAAAAGTATGTCTTAGAGGTGATATCTAAACAGAAAAAAAAAAAAAATCCAACCCTTTCCCAAACTACTTGCATCCTTGCCTATCCTTATAAATTATGTATATTCCCATCTTCACTACTGTCCTGGTTTCACTTTTGCTGCAACTAAGCACCACACAGCCTCTAGCTCACACACACACCCCTCCTCCCTCAGTGGGATGGGGGAGAGAATCAGAAGAGTAAAATTGGGAAAACTCATGAGTTGAGATAAAGACAGTTTAACAGGTAAAGCAAAAGCTGCACATGCAAGCAAAGCAAAACAAGGAATTCAGTCACTGCTTCCCATGGGCAGGCAGGTGTTCAGCCATCCCCAGGAAAGCAGGGCACCATCACATGTAATTGTTACTTGGGAAGGCAAACACCATTCCAAACATCTCCCCCTTTCTTCTTCTTCCCCCAGTTTTACATGCTGAGCATAACACCACATGGCAAGGAATACCCCTGTGGTCAGTTGGGCTCAGCTACTTGGCAGTGTCCCCTCCAAATTCCTTGTGCACCCCCAGCCTACTTGCTGGTGTGGTGGTGTGAGGAGCAGAAAAGGCCTTGACTCTGTATAAGCACCGCTCAGCAGTAACTAAAGCATCCCTCAATTATCAACAGAGTTTCCAACACAAATCCAAAGCATGATGGGAAGTGGTAGTTAAACCATGACAACTGAGAGAAGTTTCAGAGCTCAATGAATCTCTAATGTTTTGTTGAGGTATTTTGCAATTTCTGCCCTCTGGCTAACCAAAACTGATCTCAAAATGAAAAGGACAGTTGTGTAAAGCAGATTTATTCCTGAGTATACTGTTCCACAAATAAAAAACCATTACCTGGTCAAGGAAGCTGTAAAAAAAAAAAAAAAAAAAAAGAAAAAGTTTATTACCAGGAGAATGCTGTAGAACATTACCTCCACAGTTAGGATGCAATCACTCTACAGCTGAAAGCACTGGGTATAGGAGAGATAGCAAGACAGAACCTGAGTCAAAAGGAGGTTAAAAATGAAGTATGGATATGAGAAGCCATAGGATTGCTAGAACATATCAGGGAATAAAATGAATAATGCAATGTACAAAGTAAAGTGGAAGGACTGTTTCTTAGTTTTCTCTACCCATGAAGAAGCCGATAGTCAAATAACCACAGAAACTCATTTCCGTCTTCCTAATGAAGACAGCCCTAATCTAGCACTGTGCATGCCAAGTAGGTAAAAAAGAAAATGGTGTAAACACTAAAAGCCATGTGGACTAGCTTAATTCCTAGCAAGATGGCTGTATGGATGGATGCAAATTTAGTGCACTTGAATAGAAAGCATGTACTCAAAAGCTTTATGACATGTTCATGTAGACATGGCCATACCCTGACATAATTGTGTAATTCCTTATGCTAATGCAATAACTGTAGGCCATCAGAGCTTGTGTTTTTAATCCCACTGCATTCAAAGCAGAAAACCAAGGTTGTTCACATTTATAGAAAAAGAGCATCAAAATACCTGTAAGAAATATTACACTATGGAGTAGAGACTTTTCATATAGGTTTATTCATTGGTTATGTACTTCAGAATCAAAGATATGAACATTTTCACTTTTAGGAACTAAAACCATCTGTAAAGGATCTCATACCGAGAAGACAAAATGAAATCCATAATATCTGGCTGTCATTGTAGCTCTTTAACGTTGTATAGTATTCACTTAGTAAGCCATTTACTTGTCTGCCTGTGCTGGAGGTTTCCTTAACCTGCATCAAACTTACCTGGTCACTGACCTGGGTGTAAGGAGCTGTGTTTTGTTAACTGGGCCTATTGGACTACAATAATAATCACAGATGATAGGAGAAACACTTCCTTCATAGCCTGACCTTGCCATCTTGGCTCATGAATATTATTCAGAGGAAATTACTGATAAAAAAGAGTAAGAGTGTCATAAGATAACCCTAACCTTGGCAGTATTTGTATATTTACTCGATTTTAAACAGTGAGAGTAGCGCTAGACATTGTACAGAGATTAATAAATAGATTCAGTGCCTGCGGAATCAGAGCTTAAGAACAGATTCCCATGGCCTCAGATTTCACCTTTAATTATGACATTTAATACAGAAAGACTGGGAAGCAGAAGTTTTGTTATTACTTTTTAAGTTTTCCCAGAATGAGAGAGAATACAGGTATCAAAATATACCTCCATACAGCTATCAACAGGTCACACTTTAGGCAGACATACAGTTGTAATAACTTAGAAAAACATTCCACTGTGTATTCCCCAAGCAGTCTTGAAATACCTCAAGCAAACTAGAAACCCCATGAAATTTAATATACCCTAAAAGACAAATGAGAGTATCAAGATATTATCAGTGTTTTTAGTAAATCCTGTTTTCAATTTATCCTTCTGAAGGCAGATACACAATATAATGGTCTAATTTTTCATTTCGATGTTAACACCTGCTGCTAGGAAACTGTATTCTTCATTAAAATGCAAGTAATTTATGGAATGGAACTATATATTCATTGTGAATAATGTTTTTTGTTTTTAAAATAGTGTTTTAAATGATTAGGCCCAGTGTGGGTAACCAGGGACAGACACAGCCCCTCAGTGGCCAGGCAGGCCCATGGGGATGAGGACAGGTCGATGCTAGCTAGGAAAGGACATCAGCCCACAGGTTGGGCTCATGTCCACAGAGGCAGGGCTATGGGGTGCTGGAGACCAGCCCTGCTGAGGCATCACTAGGGCAGGGGCTGATGGTCCTTAGGGGGCTGAAATGAGATCCTGGGCCCTGGGCAAGGTGGAGGGAGACTGGAGGGTGGGCAGGGACATGCAGGGCTGGTAGAGCCTTCAAGGCCCTGAGAATATGAAAGCAGTTTTGAAAACATGAGTGCACAGACTGACTCCAGCTCAGCTTTGGGGTTTGTTTTTGTCTTTACCTCTTCTTTTCTTTTTTTTAAAGTATTTATTTTTTGCTCTACTGCATGCTACTATGTCCCTACAGCCAGGAATTGCCAGACTAGAAAGAAAGCACAAGATCTTTGCAACTGTCTCTTCTATTAACTACAGGAATACAAAGCTGACAAGTAGTAAAGCTTTCTTCTTGTTTGCAGGTCAGTAAGTCATTCAGTTTGAACCATTCAGTGTAAATAAACATTGCTACAGTTTTAATACGGAAAAACTTGAGTGGTGATGCAGTGGAGTTTGCAAGAATGGAGTTTACAACAAAGCTTGTTGAAAACAACCACTGAAAGATGGATAAAGGGTGTTTACACAATAAATCAAGCTCTTCCTATCCTCAGAGTATTTCTATGTAATAAAAGATACTTTTTGGTCAAGCATTTCTTTAGGTGGATGCAGATACACTGAGAGTGTTTTTACTGACATTTCCCTGATGAGAATAGGCACAACAGTGAACATGTTTTTTTTCCCACTGAAACCAAGAGCAGCTTATCAGGTGTCCAGCTGCAGATGTATGATGACAAACATTTTCAATGCTCCATTCATCACCATTTAAAAATGTTCCAGCTCTGCCACCATGTACATGTTTATATAGAAAAGTCCTTCAAAATACAAAGCTGAATTTTTATCATCTGAAATGGAGTACAGAATGGATTGCTTTGCTTGCTGAGGGTTTTGCATTAGGTTTTTAAAAGATGGCCCTGATATCAGCTATGTTATTCACAACCAAAGGGTTTTATATGCTAGGATAGTCTGAAATACTCTCATAGCACTTGCTGCACCCATGTTTTACTCAGCTTTTGTGTCCTGGTGAATGAGATTTTGGGGATCAGTAGATAAACCATCAGCAGATAATGGATCTGGGGATCAGTAGATAAACCATCACAGGTCATGGCGCAGGTTTTGCCACAGTAGGAAATGTGGGCAGTACCTCCTGTCCTGGATACATTCAGAACTCCCACTGAAATCAACATGAGTTTGGGAAGCAATGAAGACATTGCCAAGGCCTGAATAGGGCTTGTAGGCTGAGATGAGAGGTTGTTCCAGGCAATTGTTCTAAAGTTTCTGTTGTTGGCTTTAGTAGAGGCAATATTTTTCTCTGAGTAATTCACACTCATTTCCACCTATTTTCAGGCATTAAATGTCAGCTTTTCATAAGAAAGGCAAAACTGACTTGTCTGCTTGATGCCAAATAACAGAATTTACCTAAATGACAGTTATTATGTTTGTAATTTAAAAAAAAAACCCTTCTTTTGTTACGTCTACAAAGCTGAAATATTTTAACACAAGTTTTCATTTTCCACAGAGTGAAAAGCTGCCATTTGGATAAAGCCTATGAACAGCATCCATTCAGAGGGATGCACCAGGGGAATTATGGTTCAGGGAAACTATAGGCTGACTGAATTTTTTAAACTTCTGGAGCCAGCTGTATCCCTCAAAAGAAGGGCAAAGGAACTAGGTCTGCATCTGATGCAAACTACACTATCTTTATTACTGTCAGGTGAAATGCAGTGATAGATGCAAGTTTAAGATTTGACTGCATGAAGCTGCCTTACCATCACACAGTCCACACGCATCTTTTTGTGTAAATCTGGATTCTGGGACCAATGAATTCCTACTTATATGACTTAATTGGTGTTTCGTTTTTTTATAAAAGGTTTTTTCGCCATGTTAATTTTTCCCTTTCAGTGAGTTCATAGTACAAACAATAACTTTCTAGGAAGCAATTGTCTCTCCTTTCAGTTTTTCATCAGAAGTTTATTTGCTAAATCAACCTGATTTACTAATTAACATCTGGGTCTTATGTGCACGCTATGCACACACAATAATTCCACAATTATTTTATATTAGCTATTTAAGGGCTCATCTAATTTTACTCTATACATAATCCTTGAAAATGAGATTTGCATAAAGTAATTTAAAATAGACAGGGCAAACTAGAAGTATATAATTATGTATCCCTCTGAAATAAATACATTTTCAGCTCTCAATTTCCATAGCTGACTTCATTGGAACATAGTTTAGCCTCTGAATATATGAATTAATTAAAAAAGACAGTATTCCACTGTCATATATGTACTTAAATGGAATTTAGAGACAGGGTCTCCTTTGTTATACTCACTGGCTTACCTGTGGGGTGAGTAAACCTTGAGAACATTGAAATGATCCTTCTCCAGGAGCTGGAGGAAAGAAGGAAGGTGAGAGGCACTCTCCACTCTAGCCTGTTAAACAAATAAAGAAACTTTTCCCTAGCAAGATTCTTGGTTTTCTCTATATACACATTGTACATGTATTTCTGTAATTTACTAATTCTGTTGTATACTTTTAAATGCCAGTACATAAGTATGCTGTTCAATGTCCGTACAAACTGGCAATATCTGTTACCAGGTATAATAATTATATTGTATTTGCTAATATTTGTTAGGTCATGGAGTCATAGAATCATAGAATCATGGAATGGTTTTGGTTGGAAGGTACCTTAAAGATCATCTGGTTCCAATCCCCCTGACATGGTCAGGGACACATTCCAGTAGACTATGTTACTCAAGGCCCCATCCAACCTGGCTGGTATAAGAGTAACTCCAGTAGCCGAGTGACTATGCTGAAAGCTTAGTTTGCGCAAAGAAACATAAATCCGGCCTTCTCCATGACAAAGTAGAGCTGTTAAGTGTGTAAGAATAACAGTAATACATCAGTTGAATGGAAGCTGAATGAGTTCCAGAATCTGGTAGCACACACTGTGGCTGCTAAACATAATCATGCCTCCTATATACTGAGCAAGAAGGTAGCACTGATGAATTTTCGGCTTAGATGACCATTTCTGTCCGAGACGTTGGGTACTAGTTAATTATTTTAATACAGATAATGTAGTCCTACAGTTTCACTTTCATTTGACATTTCTGAAAGTTAAAGTGCTATGCTTAAAGTTAAATATATTATTGGAAATTTTCATTACCACATCAAGCTCTGTACTTGCTTTAGAAGGGCTCGTTAGTCTTAGGATTCAAAGATGAATGTAGCAGGCCGTATTTTGATGATGACTTTATGCTGGGAATTAGGAGGACTCCAGCCAACAAAGGAATGAGATTCTAGAACAACTTTCCCAGGGCTAATGGGAAAAACAAATTAAGCCAATTAATTTTGAGATGGAGTTGACAAATTAATGAAGGGAAGTGTATGACATATAGACATTTGCAATACCAGGACCCTATAGGGTATTACGAAGTCCCTTTGAATTACAGAAAGCTGTTGAAAATTCTAACACAAAGATGGTATGAGGAGTGGAGGGAAGGAGATGTGTCAGAGACAGAAAGCCATCGTGTCACCGGGGATAGTTTTACAAAGACTCTGGATGGCACGGATACCTCTAGGCAACAGATCCTGTCCTAAGTTAGGCAGTGCTCCAGGGTACTCACAAGAAAGTGAAAGCAACATTAGGAAACTTATTTGAATGTTCCCCTCAACAAATATCAAATTATGACTGGCCTGTACTTGAGAAAAATGGCCAGAGCAAGCAATTCAGGAATAGTGCATAAACTTTAATACAGCTGCTTAAAGACCTCACTGGTTAACTCTGAATAAAAGACCAGAACATAAAAATCAGGCTTTTGCAGATAAATTTCAATAGGAAAAAATCAAAATATAAAAGGCTACATTTGCTGAATAAATGCTTTACTACAAACACTTTCCCAAGCTCTAATGAAGAGTTTGTTCTAGCAGCAGACAGAATAGGGCTGTGATGATAGATGTTAAAGCTTCAAGGATATTCTCTTCAATACCTCATCTTTACCCATTACTAAATGGAAGTGGTATCACAAAGTCATTTAAGACCACACGAAATGTGAAGTCCAGACAAAAGCCAGTCAACACTCAGGAAAGACAGGACCAGGCCAACAACTCAGATCATTTCTAGCACCGGGCAGCAGGAGCAGGAGTGGTGCAAGCTCCACTCTCCCTGCCCCCATCGCTGCTGCAGCTGCAGCTCAGTCTAAGCCCTTAAGTGTAATTCCAATTTGACAGCTTGCATGGGTGTGAATACATTTAAGTAAAAAGGAAACCCTGCCAACCTCAGATGAATTAAACAACTGTGACACACACTGGACCAGACTCTAATGCACCACAGCAAATTTACAGTGCTTTGACTGTTAAGTGGAGTCCCAGTTCATTTTTAATACCACAGTTAACAAAGCTGTGTACAGATGCAGTGATTGCTATAGATGTTAAAATTTGTGGTCTTGTCTGATATTGCCCTTTGCAGTGGATTTTCATATAATGTTTAAAACTGGTAATCTGAAATGAGGGCCATGGTTGCATTTGCATCTCTAGTATCAGTCTGCTATGTATCTTTGGGAAAGTTTTTCTCTATGTCTTGATATATTCATATAAAACTTTAAGGCAGAGACTATGTTCCACTAACTGATCCCTCTTTGGCTCTTAATTAATGTCTCAAAGAATATATCCATGGTAAACATGAAAAACTAAGTTTCAGAAAAGTTTTTGTGCTGTTGTCTTAAATAGTTCATACCCCTGCTTTTTTATCCAATTGGCTATGTAAAAGAAAAAAAAGGGGTTAAAACTTGGCAGCAAATGACAATTGGTATAATGTTCCTGCAAGAGCCAATGAAACCAGAAATATCCCTGTCTGTCAATTGTTTGCTGAATCAAATATTTCAGAAGAAATGTAATGTGTTAGTTTCAAATGTCACTTTTCAATAGAAAATGTCATCTTTTCAGCAGGAACACGAAACTTAACAATATCATAATGAAACTGCAGTGAACTTCTGAATATGAATTTGACCTACCTGTGTTTCATTTTCCATGCCCGTGAAGGGTTTTGTTAGCCCCAAGGAACAGAAAGGTAATATGAGCCAGGCTGGGGACACATGGGGACTTATCACATGCAGCTCTGCTGGTTTTTGGCTGTGAGGTAACTCTTGTGGTATAAATGTTACTGTAAATATTGAAATCTGAAATAAATAAAGCTGTAATGTAAGATGAAATGTTTGCTGTTATGTAAACATGTTACCAGGTTTGACCAGCTCTTTTCTGGGAGAAAAAGAGGAATTGTTAAGGAAGTTGCAAGAGAGAAGCATCTGTGTAAAAGATGGCGTCTTCTCATTCAACAAGTTCTGCTCCTCTGGGTGAGGGACTATACTCACTAGTCTTTTTTTTGGAACAGGATTTGAAACAAAGTACCTAAGGTCTGTGTGGTAGAATTGTGCAGCTTTTTTTTTATGTCTGCACATCCACGTTCTTCTTGATTCCAGCAATCCCATGTTCTTTTCCACTAAGTGCATCTCTGGGAGCCAAACAAAAAAGAGGGAGCAGTGCTTGCCTTTTGGTAAAGTAGGCACTTAGCAGAAAACCAGTACCACTGCACATGCAAAAGATGTTCTGTGCATATGCAGAAGGAACTTACACTATGTTTATTCGTCTGAAAAGACTCCCATACAAAGTACGTTTTCTATGTTATGTATTGTCAATAAGCATGGTTTAGTTGTTGAACAACATATGATTGAATCAGGAGAGCTTAGTACTCCGAGTTAAACTTCAGATGACAAGGGCCAAGAAAAACACATTAATAAACGCTTTTAAAAATAATTCAAGTGAGGATTGAGAGATGAGGAGTAATAAAAAGAGAATAATAGTGTCATTTTAAGGGCATTTGAGAACTGGATTGCATTTATACCACGTCTCTATGAAAGTGTAAGCAGCCTTACCCTTCATCTGCCTCTAAATACAAACTGCTGCCCTTCCAGTTGCCCTCTTCTTTAGGCTGACAATGGCATTCTCATCACTGAACAGCAAAACAGTTTGAATTCATCTGGATTAAAATTAATCATTACTATTTTTTCTTTCAAGTTTACTTTGAATTGGACATGTTCTCCCATTTAGCTTACTGCTTTAAAATGCAGATACTGATGCTGGCAGCAGGCAGGGAGCAACATGGGGACAAGAACAAGCATTTGGGACCAGGGAAAGGGCAGGACTGTTCTTTTGGCATTGATAACTATACTGCTTGTAGAACTGCAGTGTTAAAGCATTCCATCCCAGCTGTGTTAGGTGATTTCTGCTTATGCTAACAGAACCAAAGCAGATCAAGCTAAACCAAATGGGAGGCTTGGACAAAGTAATCAAAACCCACACACTTACAGTGGCTGAAGTGTTCATTGGTAATGAGGTCTAGAGTAGTAAATAGTTTAAAAGCCAATAGTGGTGCAATCAGTAGTGCAGCTTTTATGAAGTGATATCAAGACCAAATCCAGATTTGTACTGCAGTTGGTTAGTGCTGTGCTGCTGACACAAAGCAGCTCTTAAGCTGGGGTAGCCAATTAATGTGGGGAACTGGCATGGCTTGTCTTATGCCACTATTCTCCTGGCAGCTAGAAAGGGAGTGTAGTCAGATCATCCCTGATCTGACTCTCTTAACTGTCCCAGGGGCCCTTGTTTGCTGATACAAT